GGCTTGCAGTTGCAAGCATGTTTATCACGAAAGCTCGCGTAGCAGAGCTTGAGTTTAGTCGTGCTTTTAGCAGGGAGGCAGTCCAGGGCCAGAAACGAGCGTATTATTGATAGTATCAATTTGGGGGGAGGGGGGGTAAATTGAACGGTTCATACGAAAGCCTGTGTTTTGCCACGGGGGAGGGGGGGTGAAATTGAAAGGTTCATGCGAGTGTCTGGTTTCCGGAGGGGGGGGAGGGGGGGGGGGGCTAAATTGATATATCAGTACTTGTTTGTAAAGTGTTTGTGCAGTGCAGCCATGTCTCTCGGCGTTTGCGTGTGTGTAGCCCTTGAGTCCTTCTGTAAAAAAAGACCGAGCTTTCGTTCTCCATGCCCCTTCCCCTCAAGTTTCTGAAAAGCAGTCAAGTCTGATTTCGAGGCAGGAGAGGCTGAACTACGAGCCAGCTTTACCAGGCATCAGCTACGAGAGTCAGCCCGCAACAAATGTGAGATAGAACCCTACGAGGCTACTTGCGTGACCGGGTCACATGGCAGGCGGCAGGGTCTGTGCAACTGTGTGGCTCAACATAAGCACCATGCTCAGGAGGATGAGCTGGCACCGCACTCTTGCGACAACATTGAGGCCAATGTTGTTCCAACTTCTTTCCAGCCTGTCACATTATGTGCTGTAGGAGCTGGTCCAATCCTTTCCCCTCATCCATTCCCACGTGCAGAAGCCTGAGCAGTATGGGCCACAAACAAACGATGCACACAAGGCGTGGGAAACGGTACCGTGTGTCATGGATTGTCATGGTCTGGAAGCATATGATCGGCGCAGTCTGAGGTGCGCCATACGGCTGGTCCCGCCCATTGCAGCAGAGGGAGATGAGGTGATTGGAATAGAGCAGGCAAAGTCGGAAATTCAGCCTTGAGCTTCGCAGGTTGAAACATTAATGTCAGAGCGATCACCAACTTCGACAATGAGGCAGACCGCAGCGTTTGGAGCTCAGCTCCCACCAAAGCGTCATGACGAAGGAATGCGATTCGGTGTGGTCGACATTTGCGGTGTGATATGGCTTGCACCAGGGCATCGGACTGCGGGAAGCCCATGACTGTCGGCATCGTCTTCGCAAGCAGTCAGGCCCTGGGCGTCCTGGGCTTGCTGGGTGCGTGATGGAGTCGTGAGGGTGTGTGGAACTCTCTTGACACGGTGAGTGGGTAGATGGGGGCACAGGCGAATTCAAGCACGCCCCCGAGTTCAGATGTAAAGACAGAGCAGGTCCCCGGCTACCATCCAGTGATTGCCGGGCTCTTCGATTACCTGTGCAGAGCTTACTTGCGGACTTACGGCTATTTTCCCAATACATTGTTTACAGACATATGTGTGTGTATATCATATTATGTAACATATATCTGTGTGCATGCGTGTGTGGTTTTTGCTCCAGGGATGGCCTTCCGGGGCCAGCCAAACTCATCGGCTTCTTTTGTGGGACATCGCCTCAGCGACTTGCGCGACTCGACCTTCGGCGAACTCCGGACTTTTTGAGGTACGAAGGCCTGCTGAAGGACCTCTGGGCCAGCTCCTCGGAGCGAAGGCGAAAGACGGAGCCATGCCATTCTTCAAGTGAGGCACCGATCACGAAGGACATGGTCGACCAATTCCGGAACTTGGGGGGCCAGGAGTGCGGCTGCGGGGCTTTGCTTCCGCCTTCAGTGCGAGATGTGATCATGCTGTGATACTGTGAGATGGGGGTCTTGGCCGCATTTCAGCTTAGCAGCAAACACATGGGTGTAGACGACGGTTGCAGAATGCCGTCCGACAAAATGTCTGCCACTGGCAATCATGGCCTTCATGCAGAATCTGCCCTGCCAGCTGCATCCTTTAACTTTAGCGCCACCGCATTTCTGCAAGTCTTAGTCGGGAAGCGCAGAGGCACGGGTAGACGTATGTCGGGAGGTAGTGGGTAGCTGGGCAGCCGATCCGTTCGCACTGCTCGCATGCCCATGCTTCCTTGTTCGACCTGGCCTGCCCGTGGCCGGGCCTAGCTGCTTTTCGGCCGCCTGACGGTTTTCTATGGCCTTTGGGACCTTCAACAAAGGCTTCAGCAAAGGCCGGAAATCGTTGGCGTCGGCAGCACTTGAACAGAAAGTCGCGCCCCAACTCAGCCTAGCAGGTGGCTTCGGCAAAAGCAGCGGAGGTGGTGGCTTTTGTGAGGAGGCTTCACTGCTTCCCTGCAGCGCTCAGGTCCTCCACATAAGCTCTCGAAACTTTTTCCAAGGATCGCAGCCGAGACTGGCAATGTCCCAACAACTCCTGCAACACGGCCTTCAACCTTCCAGGGCTTTTAGCCCTCAGTTCCAGGCCTAAGTAACCCTGCTCCTGTGAGCCATAAGATGCCACAAGGCAGAGAGAGGAACTTCGTTAAGCGACCATCGTGTTTCAAGTGCGGAACCCCGAGGCAAGGCATTCCAGTCCTTGCCACTTTTCCTCTTTCGTCCGGCTTATGCTAGGCCGGCTGAGGATGCGCGAAGAGCGTCTCAGCCCCCACCAACAACTGGCACCACGCTTCATGGCATGGCCTCTCGACCTGGACTTACTGGACCAAGCCAAGTGAACCGCCACCTGAAATTGCGAGGTCAAGAGCTACAACAAGAAAGGGTGCCTACCTCTGCTTCCTGGTGACAATCAAGTACAACGGAAGTTGTGAGCACCAGGTTCGGCTTCATCATGTGCACTGGCAACTCTGATATTCAGGCCCGTCTCGATTCACAAGGATTCGATTTGCCTGGCAAGCTTCTTTACGAGGATCTGTACTTCACCCGAGAGAACGTCAGCTCCAGGTTACTGTAGCCTTGCCTCAACGGTCCAAGAGCGAGAGACCTGAGAGATATACAGCTTCTAGACTGAGGCATCCCGACATGCCTGGAGAAAGGGTGACCTTCGAGATCGGCTACGAGGGTCGTCGAATGGTTGCCAGGACCATGACAGGATTGCAGTTGGAAGCAGGGCCTGCAAATAAGGGTGTGTGTGCGCGAGGAACGTTCGGCCGTTCGGAGAGGACAAACACACCCAAGCGGTCCGAGCCCCCGGCTTGAGTGTGACCCCTTTCAACTTGAGAGTGATGACTCCTCCCGTTTGAGAGCGTGACCGCTTCTTTTCTGACCTTGGCAGCCTGCACCCTGCACCGGCAATTTGTATTCCAGGCGATGATGGCTAACAGTCACAGAGCAAGATATGAAAGAGGGTACGACGAAGAGGCCAGCGATGAGGCATTTTCGAAGCTTGAGTTGTCCCCTGCCGACTAGTGGAAGCTGAAAGGACACAAGCCGAGATTGGCATGCTGCTCAATCGTTTGTACTGCATCCAGTCAGCTTTTGCCGCTTGATGCACTTTCTGTAGCCCTTCTGTCGCTTTGAGGAACTGTCCGTCCTGCAACGAGAGAAACTTCTTGAAGCGCAATGTGTGCTTCAAGTGCCAAACACCGAAGCCGATAGTGGAAGGCACTGCACGCTGTTTCGTAGCAAGTGCTGCGCACAAGCTTTATCACTGTCTGGTGGGCTCTCCGCACATGTCCGCTTCAGCAGAGCCAAATCCCTGTCAAAGATCCTCCTGGTGGCCCAGCTGCTGCTGCCGCAGCCGTGCCGCCTCGCCGCACGTCCCACCCCCAGACGGACCTCACAGGCAACACCCAGCCTCCCGCCAGCTGACGAGACGTCATTTGTTACATTACTTGATATTACTTGTTTCTCGCAGAGCTGCAAATTCCCAGAAGTGCTAGAGCTCCGGATTATGACCTGTGCGAGACTGTGGCACGGCTCAGGCTGTCCCCACATGCTGGAGCTCGTGCCATCAGGGAGGCAAAAGCTGGGCTGACCTGCAATTTGCCTCCGAAGTACCGACGCAGGCTCTAGCTGGAGGACGTGGAGCTCCAGTGGAGAAGGAGGGCGGCAGTGACGAGAGTAGCAGCCCGTCTGGTTCTCAAGAGAGGAAAGACTAGCAGTCAGATCCCACGAGTATGCTGCACAATGTGGGCGTTTCTGAGCTCAGGTCTAGTGCCAAGAAGAAAAATGATAAGAAGCACAAAAAGAGGCTCGCAGCACTGAGGCTGCCACTTGTAGGACATGCCGTGGATAAGCGACAGGAAGAAAAGCAGCTCTGAAAGCTCATCCAGCAGCCGTGCCAAGAAGAAGGCCCGATTTTGTGTGCGCCAGCGAGTGGGGTACATCGTCAGCTTCAGGCCAAGAGGTCGCACAAAAAGCACAAACACAAGCGGAAGTCTTAGCTCTTGCTGTGTGCCTCAGTCAGGCGCCCAACTAAGATCAGGGTGATTACGGGTTGAAAGTGCCAACCCAAGCCCTTTGACAACGGTTGGCCAGCCTTCCACCTCCCCATTGCCTGTCGCATGGATGGCGCTTTCCGGCAGTGTCTCCATACAGTGGAACTCCAAGCAGCACTTGTCGGTGCAGTTCGAAAGGGGTATGACCATCCAGATTTGGCTATGCTTGGGTAGCGTGGCTTCATCGGCCAGCATCGCAGGCTTTCATGGTCGCAACTACCGGTAGCTAGATCCGGCAGCGTGACACTGGGTGGCAGGCGACGGGCTGCATCCCGTAACCTGTTTCAATGCGTTGCAAGCATGAGAACTCAACAGCTTCACGATCCCACGGTTATGGACAATCTCGCACTCTTTCGAGCCCAGAGGAGCTGACATATCATGGTTACTTAATATTTCTCATTTATTGTTCTATAACCTATTCATTACAGCAGCTCAACCAGGCACAAGAAACAAGACTAGACATGCCTTTGACATCTATTGACCATGCCAAGCCCTCTCAATACAGTGAGGCCCCTTGAGTCCAAAAGCTCGCGGCAGCAAGCCCATCCCCTCCCCCTTGCCGCCACCCCTCTTGACGCAGCAAGAAGGCCGTGGGCCCTTGGGGAGTTCAACTCTGTCGGGCAAAGCATGCCACGGCAACATTCTCCTCATGGAGCTGGTTTGCTTAGACTCTTCCATTTGCACATGTTGCCCGAGGAAGCACGGATCATCATCCAGCGGGGACTCGGTGAAAAGCAGCAAATCAAGGACTTGCGAAATTCAAAGTTGTACTGCATGTTCGATCAGGCATCTTGTGCTGTGCAGCTGTATCCGGGCTCCAGCAGGTCCAGCAGCAGCGGTTGTGTCATGGAGGAGCCTGCGCATCAGCCTGCGCAGCACAGCCCCTGAAGGAGACTCGAAATCTGTTTGAGTGAGACTTTCCTGCACCGAGGCCTGCCAACGACAATCCAGTGAACCCAGACATTGACAGGGCGGGGACCTTGACTTCCTTGACGGCCCAGAAAACTTGTCATGTTGTTGAACTGCCAGGCGAAGAAAGAGGCGCTTGAGCAGCTTCTGAAGCTCAAGTCGTTTGCCCAAGCTGCAAGCTTTGCTGGACCTAGCCGCGCCTGAGCCCGGACCGTCACGCCGTCGAGGTCCGTGGAATCAAGGGAGCAGCGAATGAAAGAGTGGCGAGAGCTGCTCCGGCACTGGCACCCAGACAAGAATCCACACAGAACCGAGGCACCGCACTCGGCGTTGCCTTGCCATGCCTTGCCACGTCTTTCAACTGCTTCGCAGCAGGTGGCCACGGCAGTCTTTCAGTTCTTGCAGAAGGGAAAGCCAATGCTCGAGGGAGGTTAGCGGAATATAGCGGTGCTGGCGACCGTCAATTGCAGGGAGCATCAGGAAGCAACGAAGCCGCGAAGCAGCCTCGAAAGCCTCCGCAATGGCTGGGAGTCATTAGAGCACATGCTTTACAGTACTCTGAAGCCCGTAGTCACCATGCAGTGCATGTCAGCCTTGCAAGTCCTTCTCAAACTCGCGCTTTGCAGACTCTATTGCCCGCTGTGCTCAAAATTATTCCCATACATTTCTCTGATAGTTCGAAGCCCCGTCGCCGCTTTGAAAAAAGGCTCGGAGGAGCGATGTCCATTCTTTTAATGCGGATGGCGCTGGCAATCCGTGAATCAAGACTGACTCGTTTCGGTTTCTAGACGGGATCTCATGCGCTCGTGGTCAGGATTTGTTGTGTCAGTTTGGCGATCCCTCGACCCTCGCTTTCAAAGACCACCTGCAGGCCATGCTTCCCTGGGATCCGGCAGCCGGGTGAGATTGGCACGTTTTCGTTGCTGAGGCTGCGATCGAGACGATTTCTCGTCACAAGCTGGATGGCCTTGTGATGGTCGGAAACGAAGCGAACCAGGCGTGGCAGCACCCGGCGCGGTAATTCCGCCGTTCGAGTCAGCGAGTGCTGCTTAGAGTGCTCAAAATAGGTCGACTCGGCCTTCCTGGCCGAGGCTCTTTTGCGCAAATTTCTGTGAATGAGCTGGCCCTAAAAGTCTACGCCTCTGGCTCTTGCAAGGCTTGCGTGGCTTCTCGGCTGAGCACCAGGGTCATCGGTGTGCCCGTGCCCTTGGGCCCTCGTGAGCTTACCACCTTCATTTTCGACTTCGTCTCGGATCGTCTCCGCGGCTGTTGTGAGCGCGGAGCCACAAACTCGAAACATTTGTGAACCTCTTCCAGTGCGTTTGCACTCGCGCCGGTCTTGAATTGAAGTCTTTGCAGACTGGGAAGTTCTCACTTCATGTGTCGTTCGCCGTGTTGTTGGGGGAGGGAGGGAGGGAGGAAGGGAGGGAGGGAGGGAGGGAGGGAGGTGACTCGAAACCGAGCCCTACGGTCACCCACGCGAACACAACGCCACGACCGAGTACGAGTGCAAGCGCTACGGCACGATCCGGCACTACCTCGAGCACCAGTGCGGCGGGGACAATACTGGTACCCGGGGAGGATGCGGACGGTGACTCGACCTCTACGACCCTGCTCCGAGCCCCACCACAAGACCAAGCTCAACGCTTGCTGCCTGGTCCACGACGGCACCCGAAGCGGCGACTCTGGGGCAGGCAGCCTCCAGCACACGTCCGCTGGTCGCCCCCGTGCTTCCAGGCCCCGCTTGGATCTTGTGTCTCTTTAAGGGGGAGCTTCTTGTAGCAGAGTGGTGGCCGGGGTCACCGTGCAAGTCGTGGGGTGCTGGGCCTGCGGAGCTGCTGGGCGGTTCGTGTTGCTGAAGGTGGTGGTGCCCCCGCTGCTGGACCATGCTGTCGGGTACGCTGGAAGCGGCTGCGGAGCGGTCCCGCGCGCGGCTGCTGCGGCTGTTTCTGTTTAGGTGCTGGGCTGTCTTGACCTGCATCACTTGGGTGTTAGCTCGCTGTTGTTGCGCAGCACCGCAGGTGCATAGGGACATGTGCTGGAGTCCTCGAGTTTGAACATAGATGCCGGGCATCGCAGCGCGGGTTCAAAGTCGAGAAGGATTTTGGATAGGTTCGCTCTCTTGCGTGCCATGTCGTTGGGCACTGGGGCTCTGGATATTGCTTTTGCACAGGGCGCTCTTCATGTGCTTGGTGTTTTCTATGGCATGGCCGCAGAGCAAGCCTATGATTATGTTTTCGAGGAAAGCCGGCATGCTCTTATTCAGCTGGACACTGCTTCGACTGCACAAGGACGTTTGTCGCTGAGACCCATTCTCGACGCTCTTACTGCATTACAGGTGGGAGCCAGTGAACCCGTGGGCACAGGAGTGCTAAGGTCCGGTGCCTTGGGAGTTGCTTCATATCAGGAGTGGAAACAGCGCTTCCCTCAGGATCATGTCAAGATTTTGCGCAGCATGCCTAATCTTCTTTTGCTGTGTCGGGCCCGCGGCACCTTGGAGAAGTCGATTCACTTCTTGCGGGATTTGCTCCAGCGGGGCGCCGAGGACCGGCTCTGTGCACTAGGGCTTTTTGATGTGTGCTTGCCATGCCCACTGCTGTGCCTCTGGGGGCGGTGCTGCAGGCGCGCCGCTTCTCCTCCAGCGGCGAGTTGAATCCCTTAGCCAGGCGCCGCATCGAGACCAAGGTCCGCGTCACAGTGCAGGGCGAGTTTCAGACCGAGCAGGCCGATGAGTGTTGGAACCCCCGGTCCCTGATCGCCATCTCGGACGGGATGCAGAGCATTCAGTGGCTGTGGGTTCTGATCCAGCTGGGCGACGAGGTGGATATCCTCTCCTTCTTCGCCACCCTCAACCGCAAGCTGCGCAGTGTCCCGAACCGCCTGACCCAAGGTCTACTACGAGACGGTGGCGTGGAGATTGGTCCAGGCCATGAGAGCCCACGACGTTCGGGCGAGCCTCCCGCGAGATCCTCAATGACACGATCCTCTGGCAGGAGACGATCGCCAAGGATGCCCCAGCCTCACCGCCGCCGGCCGAGAAGACCAAGAAGCGCACAGCCGAGCACGAGACCGGTGGCAAGCGGGGCAACCCGAAGCAGCAGGCCACACCGCGCCCACACAGCGACGAGGTGACACCAGTCGCGGCCAGGGTTGGAAGCGCGGCTGGGACGAGGGCCCCGCCGACACCAGGCAGCAGCAGTACTACAACAACAAGGTTTGGCGGCCCGACCCGGCCAAGGGGGCCGACAAGAAGAAGGATGAGTGAGAAATCGTGGGGACCTCGCCCAAGCACTGGCGGGCGGGGGGGCCCGAGTTTTCTGATGAGCCAGTGCCTCCTCCTTCTTCGGCTTCTGTTGCCCCGGCAGTGAAAGCCATGCTGAAGAACCCACGCAGCTGGATGAGACCAGCCGCGCCAGCAGCCAAGGACGCTGCGGAGAAGCCGGGGGTCATTCTTCTGTCGTTCTTCGATGGGATCGGCGTGGCGGCGCTGGCGGCCCAAGACCACGTCCGCGTGGCACACGTGATGGCATGGGAAGTGGACGAGGCCGCGATTGCCGTTTGCTCCGCCCACTTCGGCAAGATCGTCTCCCACCGCGGCCCCGTCCAGGATGACAGCCCCCAGGCCATCGTCGATGAGCTTCAGCGCCTCGACCCGCAGGCCAAGCACACCTTGCTTGTGGCAGCAGGCCCTCCCTGCCCTGACTTTAGCCGAGTCAATGACAGCGGCGGCTCTGGCAGAGAGGGCGACACGGGCCGCCTTTTCGGGACCTTTTGTGACCTGTTGGCCGAGCTCGAGGTTAGGCTGCAGGGGCGATCCATGGCGATCGTCGTGGAGAACGTGGTGATGGCATGCTATATGGTGACATAGCCGACTTTTCAAAGCGCCTCCGCTGTGAACCGATACTGCTTGACGCCGCCGACTGGGGGGTCGTCAGGTTATGGTGGGCCCGAGTGGACTGGGCCAAATGCACAGAGCACAAGTGGACTCGCCAAGGACGCCTCTACCGGCTGCATGCACCTGGCCCGCCGCAACAGGCCAGCACCTTCGAGCTCAGGGGGTACCAGTTGAGCAAAGAGCTGGCGGCCGGGACGAAGCTTTGGCCGTGTTTCACTACGCCAGCTCCCACGGACGCTGGCCGCGCAGCTCCCAAGTCCACTCGGGCAAAGATAGACAGCGGCACCAGGGCACGGTGGCTGGAGTCTGGGCGCTCTTTCGCGCCATGGCATTTTCAGGAGCACGCCATAGTGACCAGCCCCGGCGGCATCCTTGAGGTGGTGCCCGTGCACCTCAAAGAGCAGGCCCACCTGCTCCCGCCCGACTACACCAGTGCCGCGAACAACGCCCGACGACAGGCACAGGCTCCTGGGCAACAGCTGGCATCGTGGAGTCGCCTCCTTCCTTTTCAAGATTGTCTTGCAGCTGGGCGCTCATCCCATTGGTGAGAACGCTCCAGAAGGAGAGCTGATCAGCGCCGGCCGGACAAAAGACTTCCAGTGCATTCTCCGGGCAGCGCGTGAGCAGCCCCTTCCCATGACGCGCGTGCGTGCGCCAGTGGGAGTAGAGATGCACCCCCCTAGGGACATGTGGGAACACTGGTCTGGTAGCGCGCACGTTGTGCCGTCTGCCCTCCTTCCTCCAGCCGTTGAGCCTGCTGTTGATATTACTCTGCGTCGTGCTGCTCAGGTGGGCCCCGCTCTTCGTGATCATCGCGAGGCCGTGCTGGCAGGCATGCGTGAGCTCGTTGCCAGCCTCGAAGCAGAGACAGATGAGTGGTACGAGCGTGCCCCGCCACACGTCAGGTCAGCTCTTCATCCTGAAGGTCGGCCTCGCTTTCAGGTGCTGGCCTTTCTTCGGTCATTAGAGGAGTGTGGCTATGAGCAGGTGCAGGACATCCGAGAATCACTGCAGTTTGGCATGCCGTTGCTAGGGCTCATGCCTCACTCTCCGGGCTGGCGCCCTCGCACAGATGACACTTACAGGTTTCCGATTAGCATCGAGGCTTTCGCTAAGGCGAACGATGACTACATCAGGCAGTGTCTTCTTCGTCCTCGCGTGGACGAGGAGTGGCGGGCTCTTCTTGCTGAGGTCCACAAAGAAGTATCCGCAGGACGCATGGAGGGACCTTTCCAAGGTCCAGACACGTGGCCTAAGGCCACAGTTGACGCAGCCAGTGTTGGCCGCCGTCGCCAACCTTTGCCACCTGGACCAGTGTACGCAGCCAGGGCCTTCAGTGTGTGCCAGGTTGGAGCAGACGGATCTCGGAAAGTTCGCAGGTGTGAAGACTACCGCAGATCATTCCATAACTTGGCCAAACAGCTCGGGATGGAGCCCGAGATTTGGTGTCACGACTTGTCAGATGCTTACAGGGCGTACCCGGTACGCGATCCCGCTGAGGCTTACATGCTGCTGCAAACGATTTCTGGCCCGACCTTGTGGCGCCACCGAGTACTTCCTTTTGGGAGTTCAGCTTCGGTGTGGCATTTTGGCCGCCTCACAGACGCCATGACTTGGCTAGTGAGGACCCTGTTGATCAACTGCATGCTTCATTATGTGGATGATCTGGGAGGTGTGCAGGACTCGAAAGACTCTGCATCAGCATTTTCCGCTTTTTCCGATTTTTGTGACATCTTAGGTTATAGGCTTAAGACGTCGAAAGCACAAGCACCCAGTTCCAGTCAGAGACTGCTCGGGGTGATTTTGGAAGTCACCTCAGAGGGTATCAAGGTCAGTGCTGACCCCAAAAGAGTTCAGAAGCTGACACGGCAGATTGAAGAGATCCTGTCGACAGACCGGCTTGAGCCGGAGACCGCGGCGAAGCTCGCGGGGAAGCCCATTTCTAGCAAATCGCTGCCCTTGGGTGTGATACTTGTGCACGATCCGAAATCGGGCAAACCGGCTTTCTTCACTACGGCCAGCATGGGCTTCGTTCAGAGCACAGCTTTTGGTAAGACCGGTAGTGCAGCTTTGCGCCCCGTACATGCAAGGGCGAGCTCCACTCGTCAAGGAGACGATACATTGAACGTAGGCCTCCGTGGTGCTCTTCGAGCGTTGTCGCGCATTTTGCGAGACCTCACACCGAGGTTTGTCCCGTTTGTCCAGCCGAGAGTGGAAGCGGTCGTATACACGGACGCCTTCTTCGAGCTGGGAGACAGGGTCTGGAAGGCTGGTGACCCCGACATCCCGTCCAACCTTTCACTCCGCACCTGTTGCAGCGCGTGCAACGGGTGGGGGTTCGTTGTTCGCATCGGAGGCCACGTCACTTATGGACACGGCAGTGTGTCTCCAGGTCTGTTGCAGAGGTTTGGCAGCAGACGTGCCTTTATATACTTTTTTGAAATTTACGCTCAGATCATAGCTTTCTTGTACACATGTTGATGCGCTTCCTGCCTTTTGGTTGGCTTACGTAGATAACCAACCGGGAATGACAGCGCTGCAGAAAGGCTTCGGGAGAGATGACGACATCAACATTGTCTTGACCGCATTCTGGACATTGGCCACCACGATGCGGTGGGTACCTGAGTTCCGGTGGGTTCCTTCATCGCTGAATATCGCGGACCCCATCTCCAGGGATGACTTCAGTATAGTTCAGAAATCATGGCGCCGCCTTACCAGCGACTGCAGGCATCTTGAACAGATCTTGCTGGGGCTCACATCGGACAATGTCGCCTCCTTTTCTGCTCAGATTCGGGCTTTGGAGTGGCAGTGGGATCCTCCGTTCTGTGGGGTGGGGGCGCCGTCGGATGGGAGCAGGCAGGCACCCGCCACCTGGAGCATCACTTCGGACTTCGGACACCTACGACGCCACCGAATAGGGGGAAAAAGTGCGTGAGAGAAGCATGCATGTTTCCTGTAGACTTCAGAGCACGGAGGAAGCATGTCGGCTGGGGCGGTTGCTGTTGCTGGGGCGTTTGCTGTTGGGTCCCCGCTGGTGGAAGTCGTGCTGGTGTGGTGGAGGGGGCTGTCTTGCTTGTGTTGGGCGCTGCGCCGGGCGCCGGTTGGGTCGGGCGCTAGTGGTGTTCCACCGGAACATGTGTGTGGGAGGTTGTGGGCCTCTGTCGGGCCGGCGTGCTTGCTGGTTCCCCAGGCGTGGGTCCCTCGGAGGTGGCAGTGGTGGGTCCTCTTCCCGTCGGGCTGCAGATTCTGCTGGATCTTGTTGGTGTGCCCCTGCTGCTGGGCTGGTGTGCGCATGCTCCAGTGTCGGCTGCCGCTGTGCTTGTTGTTGATGATGGTCTGCGCATGCGGTTGCTGCCTGTGGGTGTCCGGGCTGTGTGCCGACGATCGGGTCTGCATTGTCTGCATCCAGCTTGCCGAGTGATGCTTTGAGTTGGCTGGTGCGGCTGAGCACTGGGTCGTGGAGGCGGCTGCTTGACTGGTGGCGGTGGCTCGGGTCCTGCCTGTTACAGGCTGCTTGCTGGGGTTTTTGGCTGTGCCGGAGGCAGGCGATCCGGGGGCGGTTGCGGTGGGGCTTTGGATCCCCCCACCGGCAGTGCGTCGTTGCCGGTGCGTTGCATCGTCTGGGCCAGTGGTTGGTGTTCCCTGTTTGTTTGGAGGTACTCCTCGTGTTGGCAGTCTGGAGGTAAGCCTGCGCTCATGCTCAGGTTTATCACTGGCTCGCTCTCCGTGTTGTGTTGCTCGGGGTGTTGCTGCGGCTCCGAACTGCTGCGGTCCAGGTATTTTTGGAGGTGCCCAGGGCATGTCAGTGGGCATGTCCTCCCCCTCCGACTCCAGGGCTTGGGGTGCCTGAGTCTTTTCGTGGCCAGAGGCGCTGGCGCGAGCTGCTGCGGACGCTGGTTGCAGGTGCGGTGACAACCTCGCTGACCTCCTCAATGCACACCTCCGGCTACGCCCCAGCCGTGAGGATCCAGAGGCCCTGCAAGCCTTCCTCTTCCCCGACAACGGCGCGATGAGACATCCTCTTTCGCTACCGCGACCTGGTGACCCTGCAAAGATGCCTCCAAGGATTGGCCATGATTGGCCACTATGAGCGAACCCCCCCTTCACAAAGCAGCTGTGGGGAATGCCCAGCCAATTGGACCGACTACACTGAGCCCACCCATGGGCCCCACCTCGGCATGGTTGTCCGGCGAGAGGGACGGGGAACTGGGAACCGTCGCACCAGTCTCAACTGCCGACGTTTGGCTGGGTTTCTAGTGGCGCTGGACGCTGGACGGTGAGGTTTTTTCTGCAAGGGGGGCACCTGCTTGCCTTTTACCTTGAGCAAAGACAGCAAAGAGGCGAAAGAATGACAGACTCATGCCATTTTGGCTCAAGGCTCTGAGGGGAAGAGCGCTTGCATGTACATATCGCGCAAACCTGCACTGTGCCGCTGGCTCTGGCTGGTTCTGGGCTTCTGCTAATTTGCAAAGCAGAATTTACAAGACAAGTCTTACAAATCAGTGGGAATTTCATCGAATCCCCGTACAGAGACATCTGTGACAAAAGCATTTACAGCGTGCATCCCTCGCACTGGGGCGTAAGATCAGTGAAAAAAGGACTGTGAGTAAACAGAGACCCGGAAAACAACAAAACGCCAAAGCCAGTTGCAAGCAAAGCTCAACCTAGCCCGGACACAAACGCTCCTGTTCCCGTCTGAAAGTACTCTTGCGCACTGTCTGCGCACATCGAATTTCAACAGACGTTCGGCATCCGGCCCCGTTGGCACATCACCTCGCTCCTCAGGCAGAAGCGGTGTCTTCCCCCATAGTTCGAAGAACCCCGTCTCGCCCTTCCGATTGGCACTCGTCAGCGACTGGTACAAGCTCAAGGTCTGCGCGTCTCTTTTGCCCACCATGCCATGTCAGTGCAAACTTGCCGCTTCGCAGCTGCTTGACTTAAACCAATTCCGCCAGACTTTCCTTTCTGTCCTGAGGTTCAAACGCTGAATCCTTTCCCAGGGGACAGCCAATTCAACCGGCACGTTTCTTGCTGCCCCTCAGATGTTCTGTTTCGATCTTATCAGTGTCGACGACTGCATGGTTTCAAACTTGTGTATGCAGGTAAAGTCAGCGTGACAAGATGGAAGCATGATGGTTTGGAGTTTGGACATGGCCGGCCCCACAAGGTTAAACCAGCATTGGTTGTGGTTGCAACACCAACCGACGGGATGGGGGTGGCTAGACCCTTCATAAACTCTGTACTGCAGAAGACTGCCGTATTAGTCTGCGCTAGTGCACTTGTCCCATGTCCCATGTTTCATCAAATTTCATCACATTTCATGTTGACAGTACGGTTGAGCCAACCAATACTTTTCTTACAAAGGAAGCCGGGCCCGAGTGCACACTCCATTTCGACCACGTTCAGGCAAAATCATTTAGACAGTGGCCCACGTGATGTTATGCCAACCTGGTTCATGTGTTGTTCGACCAGAGCGTCACTCCAGTTTGCAGTCCCCAGTGCGCGAATCCACGCGGGGGAAGAACCCTCGCACTGCCCCCTGACGAAGAAGAAGAAGAGAAAACAGAAGAGAGAGAAAGAGAGAGAGTGTGTAGCCATTTTGGCTCAAGTACTGCAACCTTGGCTTTGGGGGGTTGTGACGCTCCCTGGTTTTGGGGGGGAGGTGTAGGGTTGACCTCAGGCTGTCCACCTGGGGGGAGCCTTTACACCTTTCCTGCAGTGCTTGAGTCTTGCTCACCGCCGCTCCTTTACTCAAGAGGCGCAGGGGGTTGCGCATCCTCCCGATCCTGAACGCAGCCCGCCTGCCATACGCGCTGATAATTAACATGTACGCCTGTTCTGTTTGCGGGGAGTCACGAAGCGGGGAATGGTCCTCGTTCAGGATTGTACTAGTTTGGTTTCCTGACTCCTCTTTCGGCTGGAGCCCCGCGCTCAGTGATGCCACAAATTTGTAGAGATCGCTGGCTTGACTTGTAAAGGTTCCACTATTGTAAGGGGGAAACCTCTGACTCAATGCACCCCGAACAGTTCACAGGTGCAAATTCATGACCATGAGGGGGATGCCACTTACCCTTTTGCCCCTCATGTAGTCTTCACATTTCGTGTTTGCAAAAAGGCAAAGCTGGCATCCTAGTGCATGTTTCTGCTGAGAGCATACGCTGTTCGTGTCTTCATTATCGTATTCTTTATGGCTTTAGCCCATCGATCAGCTATGCTCGACTTTCACTCCCCGTGGCCCAACACAACGTTGGGGTGGGCCTGGCGCCCGGGGATGCTGACCCATCCCCATGCCCGAGAGAGAGAGAGGGAGAGAGAGAGAGAGTGAGTTGTTTCACTCCCACAGACGAACGCGGACACGGGCGTAGCGCTTGTGCGCAGGGGTTCAGGGGGTACCCCCTGTCCCCAAACGCCTCGCAAGCAAGCAAGCAAGAGAGAGAGAGAGAGAGAGAGAGAGAGACAGAGAGAGAGAGAGAGAGTGCGAGAAGACGAGAGAGTGCGAGGCCCCGCACTCCTCGATGCTTACGTGTACAATCACTAAGTGAGTTGAAACAGAGGACTGGCGGGGTGTTGACCCAAGTTGTGTTGCCAGTCGCACATGTATGCGCGCGGAGAACGAGGCATGCCTGCCTGCCCGCTCCTTAAGTCTGATTGAAGAGGAGCTGTGAAGACGGAGGGTTCCGTACTTGCGTCCACGAAGGCATTGGGTTATGTATTTCGCAGTTTCGGGTCCGGGACGCGGGCGCGAATTCGCAGTTGAGTTAGGGCAGGTAATCTTCACCTTTCTGCCAGAAGCGATGGCAACCCCGACTGGGCAAAACCGCATGGGAGAGTTGTAGATTCGTTGTGGATGGCAAGCAGCGGGAAGAATGCCATCATTCCAAGTTTCAGTGCACTTGAAAGGCGGTTTTGCTTGTGGACTGCCCCAGCTGCCTCGCCTGTACTGTCCGGGTTGAGAGGGTGTGCACCGCTGAATCATATGGTGGGCGCAGTCAGGTGCATTCAACCGTGAGTTATCGGTGGCTTCGCCAAACATAGACACAGCCAGGTTGATTCGATATGTAGCATTTGCGTTTCGCGATTTCCGGCCTGCTTTTGCGAGCCTACTCTGACGTGAGCTGGTGGAAGCAAACGTCAGGTATCCTTGGACTGCAACTTCCCCTTCGTGCAGCAAACGATTGGCTTTGACACGGTGCCGTTCCTTGTTCGTTCTGTGTTGCAACAAGTTGCCACAGTCGCAGACAACCGAAGCAAAGCTGGCCAGGTGACGAGAACTTTATCTGCTTTCATGGGCACGATCGGGAACATGGTCAAGACCTCGAGGACGCATTGTGGCGAAATTGATGCCAAGGCATGTAGCAATTGCTAATTGCTGCAGGAACATGTGGATTTTCGTCCGGACAATGGGCTGCTTGGTGCAAGCAGTTGGCCTTGTGCGGTGGCATAATGTTCCGAGAAACGGGTTGGCTGCATGAATTACAACGAAAGACCTCGTGCTGGAACATGGATTTGCAAAATCAGGTGATGCTTGGTCACACGTGGCAGCCGTGGGCATAGATTGTGGCCCATAGTGGTCCTGCTCTCCAGCACCCCTGCACTCAGGTGCAGATTGCGTTGCAAACCCATGTCCACATGGCAGCTCTACTGCAGTAGTACTCAGTAGTAACCTCAATTCCAGAGTCTGCTTGGTTCGTCTGCCAGGTTCTGCTGTCCGGAAGCCAGCTCTTGGGCCAGTATCTGGTCAACATCGTCTCGCTGAAAGCCGAGATAAACCAGACTTCACACTTCGCCAGAATTTCGCATCACAGCACAGACTTCAGGTGCCTGTGTGACCTCATTGTGAGGCGTCATGATGCAGGCACGATGCGTGGCAGCTTGGTGCCTCTATAACTCGCGCTGGTTGTTGCAGTCTGTCAGCACTTCAAATATAGCTATGATGCATGTTCTCGGACGCTGCACGAACATTTGAAGATACGACGGGTGAAGAATTGTCATCGGTTTGCACGCCCTCAGCGCTTGAAGCGCAAAGAGTGAGAACAGCATGCCGGGCTTGAAATTGACTTCATATGTCAATTGCCGAGCACTAGCCGGATGGCAGTGGGCTCTCGATAGGACTCTCCGTGAGAAAAACGTAGAGCATCGAGAGAGGGGGGATTGAACTCCACTCGAGCTAGGGAACAATTTCCGCTTCGTTTGCCGTCGCCAGCTTCCAGCTCAGGAGAAGTTTCCTTTCTTGTGCTCGTAAATGCTGCCCTTTGACGACGGGGAAACAGACCGCCTCTTCCTGTCCCTATACATGTTTGCTAGCTGTGAAGCTGTTCATGCAACCAGAAACACCAGCAAAGACTGAGGACAGGAATGTCTGTGTGACATTGCTCCTTCTTTAGACCAATCCGAGACTATTGAATTGCCCATGGAATAACTGTACTGTACAAAATCTGTGTCTGCCCCTGCGGACTGTGGAGCTGCCGAACCAATACACGGCAGGGGAACCTTAAGATCTGCCAGGGAACAGGACGCGTGTGAGACTTGAAACCTGCCATGCAGAGTCAGTATGCTGATGATGCCGTGTGGGAGCCAAATAGCGGCCTCGATCTCGAATGGGCAGAAACAATCAATGGCTTCGAGCTTCTGGTTGCGTTTGAATCTCACGCAAGTTCTCAGCGAGGGGAGATTTCGTAAACCCTTAAAAGGGCATCTCGTCGAGGAACTTTCGCCAGATCCCAGAGCAGAGCAGAGAACCTCCCATGCCGAGAGACGGAACGCCGTGAGCTGCGAATCCCGGAGGCCGCAGGCATCCCTTTCTCATCCTTGCCCGGAATGTGCGTCGCAGTATGTCTATCCGTTTGTGCCCTGAGCCAAATACGCTTTCGGCTTTGCCGGTTAGGACATGCGTTTACTTTGTTACCGCAATGTTGCTCGGTTGGCTTGCACCTGTTCTACCAGACCTATGCAAAAGCGACACAGAACTCTAAACCCCTTTTGAAACCCTTGATTTCTGCGAGCCTATCACGAAATCTACATGCCCCAGACCCTGAGCATGGAGACCTTCCTGTCCAAATTGAGCGCTCTCCAGCTCAAACTTCCCGGCTTTAATCTTCACAAAATCTAACAACTTCATGTTTCAGAGCTCACCCAGCCTCAAGGCAGAAGCGGGTGAAGCGGCGCATGCCCCCTCAGTCCGAATCCAGCAGATGTCGAAGCCTGCAAATATCCGAACTCCAAAGCGGTCACCAAATCCTGCAAGTCCCTGCAACCTTGGAGATCTCAGCTCTTGAGGTTCGATTGCGATTGCGATTAGAACTACACTTGTCGGAAGCAAAGGGCCGGAAGAGCCACGCGCGACGGAGAGCCGCCTGTGCCAGGCGAGGACTATGGCATCATCATGCTACCTGTGGGGCTCTTGCCCCAGTAAACAAGTTTGGTGTTCATTACATGCATTACATGCATGATGGCACACCAAGCAAGTGACTGCCAGCATCAACATCGTGCAGCTCCTGCAGGTTTGTCAACGACATCCTTGAGCTTCGCATCTTGTTTTCCGAGCTGATGGAAGTGATGTCCAAGGACCACTACGAGCAAAGCCCGGGCATAGAGTCATAGAGTGACTTGAGCGAGTTTCGGGGCATTTCAGGGCCGGAGACTTGGCCAAGGTTGGGAGTCCATTCCCAAGATAGCAGCCCGCCTCAAGCCGGCGACTGTCATGGACCCAGCATGCCCGAACTTTGTAAGCTTTGAGAATATCTGAGAACACAGAGGCTGCTTTGTTTGACGTGATCCCGCGAGACGTACAGTTCGAAATCTGCTTCGGTGGAAGAGAGAGGTGGGTGACTGGTGCAAACCACCCCGGGGCTCGCAGCCGCTCCTTCAGAGAGGTACATGAACAAGATCGACTTCTCCACAATTTCCACGGATCGGCTTTTGCTTCGCTTCGTGCTGTCCTGAGATCGAAGCCCGGCCTGGCACGGCATGGACAACATGGGCAAAAGCTTTAGGTGGAGATGGAGCTCCTCCGACGCCGACAGCTTGGTCACATCTCCAAGGACGAAGCTTTGACTCTCACTTTCGGTGTCTCAAGGCGATGCCTTAAGGATTAGTACTAAAAACTTTGCAGCCGAGAGCGTCGCTTGCATCCAGACTCAGCTTTTCGGCTGCGCAACTTGACGTAGCCTAGCCATGTTTCCCAACAGTTTGCCATGCCTGAGGCCAGGGCACGAGTTGCTTATGTGAGCGCATGCCATGCTCTTGAAATGCATGCCAGCTCCATGAGACATGCTTGCCTTTGTGGCACCCCTCAGGAAGACAAATGGTCTGCAGTGCCCCTTTTAGCACCGACAAGGACATGCTGTGAGTGCTCCAAAGTGAGTATTGACATTGACGAGCTCCTCGCTTTCTTAATGGTCGGATACGCGAGCATAACTCGTCTCAAGATGTGTCAAGTCCAAGGTGCACATCCCAGGATCCGCGAGGAAGTGCATCGGAAGCATTTGCACTTTCATGGTTAAAGGACACCGTTTGTGCTACTCCTTGTTGGTGCATCAGTTTCTCGTGCACTGTGGGCAGGATGAGGCCTCCGATGACGACATTGCAAGAGTTCTTACGCAGCTGCTGCTAGCAAGACCGGAGGTGGAGCCAACTCTGAGCCTTGATCGCAGCGAGCAGTTGCAGTCGAGCTGACACCGCAAGTCAAGCTCCTGCGGGCATATGCAGATTCATGTCGGTTCGGCGATCACGGTGAGCAGAGGGGGGGGGAGCGCTCTGCATACTGGCTTTGAGGTTGGCTGTCCTCAACTGCGTTGCCGCTATCCCTGGCGAATTCGGCAGAAAGACACGTGGAGGCCTTGTTGATCCGCCTGAGATCGTCGATCTCCCGGAGGAGGCAAGCTGTGCTTTGCTTTGAAGATTTGCTCGTTCATGCTCGCGTCGGAAGGTGTCCCTGGATGTCCCTGTGGCAGACCGGCCGAGGCAGCTAAACTAAATGAAAAGCAAGGCTTTTTGAGATGCGCGCGTTTGAGGCTGCGGTTTGCGACGTGCAACTACTTCGTGGGCGAGGAGGAACTCAAAGTTGAAGTACAGGCAGACCCTGTGGTCGACGAATCATACCTGGAAATTCAATGTCATTTGACAGGTCCTGCGGTCCGGCAACCTGAACTGCGAGCATTTGCCTCAAGATGTGTAAACATATAGGCTCAGCTCTTGCAGACCCACCAAGATCTCAGGTCCAGAGTACAAATGCACACGCGGGATCTATCTGCAAAGGCCAGGTTCTCGACATTGTTCGGCAACACCTGTCAACCAGATCCGCTGTGCGCTGTCATTAGCGGTCTCTACAAGAAAGGAAATGAAAGGAATAATCACGCGGACAGGCTGGCATGAACTACATGCACGCGAGCAAAATGCGTCTTGCCTCGCAAGTGGCTGCACTATGCTGCACTTGTTGTTGCTGGCATTTGCTGGCCCTTTTCACCATTGCTGTGGCAGTTGGATCGATGCCCTGCCGTGCACAGCATTGCATATCTACTCGCTGCAAGGGAGGTGGCACGCAAATCTCGTGGTCTTTGTGACAGAAACCGAGGCTTGTTTTCAAGCCTCAAGCGGAAAGCATCCTCTTCAGCGTGGACCTGATAGCGCTCGGCTGAGCCTGCTGTTGTTACAATTTAATGTGAAGTCTCTTGTTTTGGCTGCAATCCTTAGGCAAGCGACGAGTGGTCGCCCACCCTCGAATTTGAGGTGATGCCCATGGTTAGATTTGTGTCACTAGCCGCATCTTCAACTTGGGCGATTAAGGTGGTGCTTGATCCAACAACGGTGACAAATGCCGACTTGGACGCCTACGGAGCCCGCTCTCGTGTTAAGATTGATGACAAGGACCCATGATTTGATTCGGAACATGCCTCACAGGTTTCTGCTTGTAGGAAAAGGTCATGTTGTGCAAAGCGCTTAGCAGATGTTACGACTATGGCAATGCTTGTGACGTAACGCACGTGTGCGCGTAGGAACAAACCCTGGCGTTCGACCGCAGCTTGCGGCTCGAATCGTCATTTTCGACTTCTTTCGCCTTTCCCTTTCCCCCGCCTATCTCGCCGTGGCCATGTCTGGTGCCGACTCCCGGACCACCCTCACCGCGGACTTCGCCGAGTACGGCGTAGACCCGAGCACTTGCATCATCTAAGGGGTGCGGCCGCCTTGGATCGCCCCGGCACGGGCGAGACAATTGAAATCGCCACTTCGCCCACTTCGGGCGTTGTGGCCACAGGTAGCATCGAGCCTGCGCCAGCGACGCCTTGATGTGAGGGGCGTTGGTCTCGGCGCCCGTCCCTGTCACCTCCCCAGTCCCAGGGCCAGGGTTCGGTGCCCCAGTCGGACAGGTAGTAGACAAGGCCGTGCTCGCAGGTGGCAAACTGTCCGTGCCGCCCGTGGCCTCGCCGTCGTGGTGGCCCGCCTGGCGGGCCGACCAAATGGCCTCCTGACAAGAGGCATTGCGAGCAAAATCGTCAGGGAAAAGAGCCCGCAAGGCGATTTCAGCTCCGTGACGAAATTGTCGATAAAGAGGTGCGTCTCTGTCTGTTGCTCGCCAAGTCGACTACGGGGCCTTTCCGGGCGCAGTTCGCGCTATGACCAAAAAGGGGCACTGCACCGTTAGTAGAATTTTGAGCTGACACGTCGTTAGCGACGGGTTTGTTTCAGGACGCCTTCCCTTCAAACGTGGTGGATGTGCGACAGCTTGCCAAGAGCCTTTCTTGGGAACATCTGAGGCCAAGCCAAGTCTGAAACACCAGATCACATTCGCCCAACTTGCTTGCAACACTACCTTCTCACAGGCAGGCTCTCGAGAATGCCCCAATGCTGGTGCTGATGGCGGAATACTTGAAACTCAATTTCCGCAACGACGTCGTGCGACGAGGCCTGGACAAGCGAAGGGAAGTAACAAGTGCACCCGAGCGAGCCGTGGAGACTGCTTTCGACATCGGTTTGGAGAGGCACCTTCAAGATGTGTTTGCAGGGCCAGTGCCATCATGTGTATGGCATCCTGAGGCACAGGAACTCTCCTTTCTTCGTGCTTTGAGGCCCAAAGAACCAAGCTGAACATGTGTTTTTGCTCAGGCTTTTCCTCAGCGTGCTGCTGGTGGACCGGGTCCTGAAAGGTAGCGAAGAGGATTGGATGGTCGGGACCACCGACTCCTTTGGCGAGTGGTTGTTCCACACCCGCCATGGGCCCAGTGTGCAATGCGCAGCCCCATGCAGAGGCGGTATTTAGGTTTGAGGTGTTTGTGTGTGTGTGTGTGCCAGGCAGGCTTACGCAGGCTTCTTACTGCTTCCGAGTAATGGCTTAATGCGCGTCCAGGGTTTGTCGTCATTTCTCAGGACCCGGGATGCTGGTGCTCGTCATGAGTGGCATGCTGATTCCATTCGTTGGCCTTCACTACCTCGACTTCATTTCGATGACTTGGAGAGTAGGCGAATTTGGCGGTAAGGGCTGGTGTTTCTTCTGCCAGTGACTCGAGCAAGTCGCACTCTGTGCTGCACCCCGTAGGTGGAACATCACGCGCCCAGCTCTTGTCAGCGCTTGTTCGCAGACTCCTCCACTATGATGTGACTTCCAGGCTAGGGATGTCCGGGGCCAGTGAAGTGGATGGATCTGCCAGAGACGTCATGAAGGTACAACTGTTTGCGTCGGAGCCGAGGTGTTGGAACCAAGGATAAGCGAGGATAGCCAAGGCAGTTTGCAGGGAAATAACAAGAGGAAGTGGAGGAAACTAAGTATGTACGAACAAACGGACAGTGGTGCATGTTTGCACGTGAGCAACCGAGTTCCTCAAGCCCAGCAGTAGGAAATAGCTTTTCCCAAGCCCAGCACGAGATGACCACAACACAAGGACCAAGAAGGGGAGAAGGACTGAAAGTGTAGAAGGCACTGTTCCACTATAGAAACCCGAAACCTACCTGAACACTGGAAGGGCAGATGAGACAGAAAATACATCCAGCATGCTGGGCAGAAGCACAGTTGGGGTTGGGCGGTGACCAGGTCATACATGTGTCATATATTGTCACACCAAGCCCGACCTGAACCACACAGCATCCTACAATCCCTGCATCATCTCCCGATGCACGGCAAAGGCCTGATTTGTCTGTGCTTGCGTGTTCGTAGCCACTAAGCATCCGAAGATGCAAGGTATGAATCGAAACTGCACGATTCATGCAGAAACCTCCCTCTGAACAGTCGCGGTGAGCACTCGGCCATGCAGATTTTACCAGCCACCACGGGTTATAGCTGTAGGTTTTGTTGTAGCCTGACTCGGTGGACAATGGTGGTAAGCACGCGGCCATGAAAGCTTTAGCAACTGGCTACCACACAGATTGGCAGCAGTTGTAGGCTCTGACAATTTAAACGGCATCTTCGTTGACATGGCACTGGGATACTTGTGGCTAGCGCAACTTATACCTGCTTTCGCATGCGCTACCTTCAGGATACACCTGGCAGAAATCAAACTCCCCAGATCTGAGGAAGATTGAGGTATAGCCCGCGCTGCCCGAAGCCGGCATGAAACCCGTGGGCAAGAGTACAGCAAGAGTAATATTGGAGCTCGCATGCTGGGCAGGATAGACATCAAACAAGGAGCCGAGATAATGGCCATGACCAAGGACCGAAGACCGGACTGTGGATCTGCAAGGTTCAACGACACGGATTCGAATCACCTGACTCCCAAGGATGTTGATGATATCGTTCAGAACGGTTACATGGGCGTTCTGGAAATTATTTCTCATCTCCAGAATTTGGCAACTGCAAACTCCCAAGCTGCGTGCAGAAAGATCTCGGCGATTTCCCCGCAACTGTGTTACTCCTAAGGTCTTGGCGTACCAGGTGATATCACGCCTGATCCTTCAAGAACCGATCAGCCCGTGGAGTATTGCTCCACTCGTGATACATCCCATACTACTTGCAATGTTTGCGATTTGCCGCAGCTCGTCCAAAACCTTGAACATGTATCGAAGTGCGAAGGGTGGCTAGCCCTGCAGCTGCCAGCCAGCTTCACCAGATACT